CTGTGAAGGGACCGGTTCAGGACACGCAGGTCCAAGATTGGTCGTAACCCACTGTCTTCCTTCAATGAAGTACGGGCTGTAGAAGCCGGTCTTCATATCGGCTGGAGGGACCGGGCCAGTAGAACAGCGATCAATGCCCTGAGCACAGGGGCACTGTTCGCCAGAACACGGGTGAACTGAATGCCCCTGTAAGCTGGGGGGGCGCCGGGCGAACTGAATCGCATAGCCGAGTCTGACAGTACGGATGAGCCAGTGAGACGGGCTGGGAAGCTCTAGCCAGGCTCCCAGACACCGTGCAAGCGGGACCAGCGGCAGCACAGATGTACCCGGGGTGGAGCAGCGCGGCGGAATGCAGGGACCCGACTCGGACGGCATAGCAGCCCGGAGTGGGGTCTGAGTGTGTGGTGCAACACGTACCTGCTTCCGTCGAAGGGCAGAGTGAGTGTGCGGAGGCGTCAGTGCATCCGGGACACAGCCACTGCTGCTCGCTGGCGATGAAAGAGGGGCTTGAGGGTGACAAGGCATAGCGTCGTCGACCACCAAGCGTGCCCTCTTGGGACCCAGAGGTTTCAGAAATGGCTCTTTATTGAAAAAGTGCGGAACACAAAGAAAAGGAAACAAAAGATTCTCCGCCCGGCCCTCCACCGGGGGAAGGAGCAGTGCGTTCTCCATCTCCTGAAGAGCAACTCAATCCACCTCTGGGTCGCCTGTCTCAGGGTCGTTTGCACCCCGCTTGCTTACTGGTTTGGCAGCGGCCTGGATGGGCGTGGTCGACTTCCTCTGGCTTGCTTCACGCTGAGGCCTGGATGGTGGCTGCTGCTGGGGCTTCGCGGGAGCGGAGGACGCCGCAGGAGGTCGACCTTGGCGACGAGTGGACGGAGGGGCTGCGGCCGGCTGACGGATGGGAGCAGCAGTGGCCCTCCGGGGCAGGATGTGTCAGATGGCCTCCGTCTGCTTCTGGGCGGTCGAGAACTGCTGGGTAAAGCTCTCGACCGCGTCGCCGAATAACCCAACCTGGGACAGAGGGGCATCCAGGAACCGATACTTATTGGTGTTCCTCATATCGGCCAGGTTGAGCCAGAGTTGGCGCTCCTGGACCACCAAGGTGGAGATCGCCTGACCCACGGAACGTGCGGTTTCCTTCGTTGCCCGGAGAGCGAGGTCAGTTGCCACACGGAGCTCCTGGAAAAGCTCTGGGTCAGAACCACCCTCGTTCATGTCCATGAACGCCTGGGCCTGGTCGACCTGCAGCAGCGCCATGGCATGGAGGGCAGAAGCAGCCTGTCCACAGGCCTTATAAGCCTTCGCCGAGAGACCGGACGAAAACTTACAGGCCTTGGACGGGAGGCGTGGATTACCCCACCAAGAGGAAACGGACGCTGGACACAGCTGCATCGCAACAGCACGCTCCACTGGCGGGATATCCACATACCCCTTAGGTGCCCTGCCGTCGAGGGTGGTGAGGAGGGAGGAGCCACTAGGACGGCTTCTGGCACTATACGGTGCTGTCCACGTCCTAGTGAGCTCCTCATGCACTTCCGGAAAGAATGGTACTAGGGAGGGGCGCTGAGAACCAGCATGGCCCGCCCGGAGAAACCAATCGTCCAACCGGGAAGGTTCGGGACGTGGTGGAGAGTTCCACACAAGCCCGACCTTCTCGCCGGCCCGGGAAAGCATAGCCGCCCATTTTGGATCGAACTTGGGCAACGCTACACTCCCCGAAGGCTTCGCCCTAATTTGAAGACTTACTGAAGACAGGAAGAAGAATTTTGTTCCAGTGCTGGTGTGACGGCGCGATCAGCGGTGGCCGCGAGCATTTACAGCTCACAACTGCTTCAGCTCATAACGCTACACTCCCCGAAGAAGAGAAAGTTCTCTTCTTCCTGTCTTCAGTAAGTCTTCAAATAGCAGCAGTCTGCAGAAACTCAGAGTCAAAACGAAAGCTCGGCTCCGAAGTGAAAGACAATGTGTGCGTGCGCCCGCTTCCTGTTTATACCCATGCTGCGGGGCGGGTGCGTGACACGTTTCACGCACACCAACGTTCATTGGCTCGTTCTGTAGATACTCGAAGTTGATAGGGCTCCCTGAAGCGATCCCAATTACGATGTCAAACGTGAGCGACTGAAAGGGAACTACGGGTTTATAATACAACTACGATTAGCGGAAGGGGCTTACCGGAAATTTAACACATTATATTTCAAAAATGGCGGCTCCCGCTCTTATGTGAAAAATAAGGAAAAATAAGTGAAAAATATTATATATTCATTAACAATGTTGCTGAGCATCCCAGGAGTAAATTATTTAAAATAATAATCAATTAAAAAACAGCCTATATAACACGTTCTTTATGGAACAACAAAAGCAGCAGTGACAATATCTCAATATTTAAGAGAATGAAAAGAGATCAGGTATAATATAATGTGCTTCAGATCTCATCATTAAAATAATTTCAAATCTATATTATTATTATTTTTCTACTGCTGGACATCTACAGTCCGATAGCATCTTAAAGATTACAGAATCACCAACAGTCAGCCCTTTTGCCCAGTTTATTATGTAATGTTCATGTAATAGAAATTACATAAATTAAAATTCAAAATATGAATGTGATACATACGGAAAGATGGAAGTATTGATAAAGTGGGAATTGAAACCTAAAGTGTTTTGATTAAGTGGGGAATCAACCAACTATACTGTGACCTCAAAAAGTATTTGAACATGTGAGCCGCAATCAATGTACAAATTTCTTTGCGTTGGATAACAAAATGGCTAAACTTTATTTCCGTGTCCTTGTTACAATGAAATTACTGAGTAATGAGTAACTACATGTACTCACAATAGGGTTAGGGTTTGCACTTTATTTTACAGTATGTGCACTTATGTGTACTTACCTAAGAAAGTAGTGGGCAATACAAGGCAACTAAATGGGTTAAGGTTAGGTTTAAGGGTAGGTTCAGGGTTAGTACCTAGTTATTACACAGTTATTACAATTACTATAATAAGTACATAGTATGTCCATGCGGAACACGACTGTAAAATAAAGTGCTACCAATGTTTGGTTTAGGGTTACTTGCATGTAATTATGCATAATTTATAGTTTATTACTATAGTAAGTACATGTAACGTGTAACAAGGACACTGTAAAATGAAGTGTTACCCAAAATATCAAATGTCTATCGAACAAAAGTGGAACAAGTTCATTGATGATGAACTGAAGTTAGTTCTGAGAAAGAGTCTAGAATCCGTTGTTTGCAGATGCCACTTGATATTTTGTATCCAATGACATTCATACATGTTTAAGTACAACCCAACGTGTCCAAATACGTTTTGGGGTGAACCACTGTATTGTGGCTCAGGACACACTGCATGAATGTTTATGCCAAGAGAGGTATATTGGAAGTGCAACTATAATATGACATTTTTAGTCAAACGATAAATGACTAGAAATGATCCTCGTTTAGCAGTAGCAAGGGTTTTGAAGTGATCTCTCAGTTCTGTCAGTACCAAACAACCTGAATGATAGGCCTGATGATAATTCACCATATCCCATCAGACAGATGGGAACTAATCTCAGGATAAAGGGAGCAGCTTCTCTTGCAGGGACAGAGATACATTAACAGGTACAACCTGACGTTCTGATTTGGTATTTAATGCAAAGTTTATCTGCATGCATACAGGAACATTAGGACTCCCATAAACCGATTCCACCAACTTCATGACAGTGAATACAGCCTGCTTTAGACTGCACATAAGAGACATCAACAGGTATAACAAGAAGTAACATTTTACAGCACAAACAGGTATAGACACACATTAATGCACACTTACATTGAGAACATAGAAACACGGAAATGTCATATACCTTAGTATATACACTTTCTGACATGTACTATGAAGAGTTAAATAGATATCAACATATTTTTACAGGTAACATATGCATGACTACAAGATGATCATTTTTTCATTAATTATTGCAGTCTAACAATATGGCTTTGACTAGTGAAAAACCTTTCAGCACTACAAAAAAATAAAAAGTCAGTCTCATTCTTTCCTTATAATAATAATTTTAAAAAAAAAATACCTCTGTACTGCTAAAATCAAGGTCTACTTGAGAGTAGCATGTGCTATTCTAAAGTATGTCATTCTGTTCTTACTAAGATTTTATTTTTGACAAACTTTACAATCTTAAAAGCATTTTGATCACAGAACAACGAAGCCTATTTGGTAAGGATACATTCCTGTAGTTATATCATTTTCTAACAGAGTTTAAAAAGGGACACATTTTCAATCTGGCTGATTGGAAAACAAGCACTAACTTTGTGTAATCTACAAAATGAAAACTTATATAGGTTTATATTTCCCATCATGCAATAGAATAGCCATTTGAGCGTTACTTGACAAAATGAATTTGCCTCTTTAACCCAGGTTTCATAAACAGTTATGTAAACATTTAACCCCCCCCCCCCAAAAAAAAAAGTGTCCAACATGTTTATCAAATGGCAGTGTTTACTCAAAGCTTAAAAACATGAAGACATTGATAATTGAAATAAAAAGCCTTAGTTCATCATATTTGCAACCCCACATCCGATTTTACCAGCAGTAAGAATTTGGGCAGAATATGAGCTAGCATTTTTATAAATCATGATTTTATAAATCATGTTGATATAGTTTCACAGCAGGATCAGAATAAAACGGTTTCTCAAAATGACCACGTCATATATCGTTGTAATAGATCATTTAACTGTTTCTTGTGCCATTTACATCTTTACTAAGGTGTATAACTCTCTCTTTGGTATTTTTTACTGTTGTATTCTCTGATTGTATTCTCAGTATTAATTTAGTATATTTTCATGAATAAATTATTAATTTCAATAACGCCATGCTTCCATGTTCTGCAACAGTACTCAATTTATTATCCTACACGTAGGCTTGTTTCTTAACGTTAACAATTACCTACTTTTTTTTTTACTGAAAGCACGTTTACGTAACTTTCAGCTAAGGCAGGTATTTTCATATTGCAGAACATCCCACATCTTTTTTTTTTATAAAATTTGAATGCCAATTGATTATTTTTGAATTGTTTGTATGGGACCATTTCATTTCTGATTGTCGTGTGTGATTTGGCAGTGATGAATGTGCTGTAAAACAGTGACTGACCTCTGAATACATTTGTAGAATCTTGTATTTCATGCTCTGTATGTTTTCCAGAACTTGAATCGTCCTGGATAACTCTCCATTGTAAAGATTTGGTCCAGTTTTGTAAAAAAGGATAAACTGTGGTTTTGTCACAGTTCTAGTAAATACTGAGCTTTTCCTGATCTTTTGCTGGCAAGGCTAATGTGACTATTAGTTGTGGTCAAATCAAGTTCTATTTTACACTACACTCTTAAAAATAAAGTTTTTTCTTAGTGTGAAGAACATTTTATAATCTAAAGAACCTTTTTCCAGTATAAAGAACCTTTTGTGCATTGAAAAGGTTCCATGGATGTTAAAGGGTCTTTACATTACCATGGATGCCAATTAAGAACCTTTATTTTTTAAGAGTGTACAACAAAAATAAAATTAATATCAATACATCACAGACGAATGAGAACTGCCAGGCTGCATTCAGGTGGTCTAACATGGCACAACTAAGACAGTTTATCAGCGTCTCCCATTTTCACAAATACGTATCGATGGCAAACACAATTCATCTTACAGTAAGATTTTGACCTCATGCACACTACTTAAAGCATTACGGCTGCATTCTGCACTTCACTGACATTTTTTTTTCTGTGAAAGAAGGAACAGTTATACCAAGCTACTGTTTTAAAATGCTCTGACCCCACCGTGTTTGAAATAGATAGATAAATATCCAAGTAACCATCATATTCCCAGTGCCCGAGCTCAGTACCAAGATCCTGGAATGTGCCGTTACTGTGGGGCTGATCGTTGAGTACCTAAGGCAGATAACTTTCTAAGTATTAGAAACCCCGGTGATCAGTAAACAAATAGATATATATATCTATAGAAAGTGTAAACAGTTTGAACCTGAATGGCAGTGAAAAGACCAAACGTTGTTGGGTTATGATTTGTGTTTCTATCCGTAGAAAGGAACAAATAAAATTCCGTCAAGGCAGTGAAAAGCCTTTCAGCTGTTTGGCAAAAATCCCCCCTCACCCATTTTCTTCCAGAAACAGCTTTGTGTCTGTTACTTTTTAAACATGTCCTGCAGAGGTCCCGGCAGGAATTTGAGAACGGTGTCTAGAATGCTCTCCTCATCCTCGTCATCATCTGCCCCACAGCCGGCTGGGATGGCCTTTTTGGGGCGAGTCAAGGAGCCCTCGCACGCTTGTTCCATAGCCGCTTTCTCCTCTGCTTCCTTCTCTTCTTTCTTCTTTAGTCCATACTATATAAACACATATACAATATAATGAAGATATTTAGACAATAGGAGAAGAGGGCTTGTTTGAATGTTGAAATGATGCCATTTCTCACTGTACTGTAGGTCTACTGTATAGCCTATATATCTCATTTATGGGAAATAAAGTAAAATACCATGAATGCATTGATCCAACTATATGCAAAATGATCAACATGTCTAGGAAAAACTGTTTTATGGCAATTATGTGCTGTACAGGTCCTTCTCTGAAAATTAGCATATTGTGATAAAGTTCATTATTTTCCATAATGTAATGATACAAATTAAACTTTCATATATTTTAGATTCATTGCACACCAACTGAAATATTTCAGGTCTTTTATTGTTTTATTACTGATGATTTTGGCATACAGCTCATGAAAACCCAAAATTCCTGTCTCAAAAAATTAGCATATTTCATCCGACCAATAAAATAAGTGTTTTTAATACAAAAAAAAAAGTCAACCTTCAAATAATTTTGTTCAGTTATGCACTCAATAGTCAATACTTGGTCGGGAATCCTTTTGCAGAAATGACTGCTTCAATGCGGCGTGGCATGGAGGCAATCAGCCTGTGGCACTGCTGAGGTGTTATGGAGGCCCAGGATGCTTCGATAGCGGCCTTAAGCTCATCCAGAGTGTTGGGTCTTGCGTCTCTCAACTTTCTCTTCACAATATCCCACAGATTCTCTATGGGGTTCAGGTCAGGAGAGTTGGCAGGCCAATTGAGCACAGTAATACCATGGTCAGTAAACCATTTACCAGTGGTTTTGGCACTGTGAGCAGGTGCCAGGTCGTGCTGAAAAATGAAATCTTCATCTCCATAAAGCTTTTCAGCAGATGGAAGCATGAAGTGCTCCAAAATCTCCTGATAGCTAGCTGCATTGACCCTGCCCTTGATAAAACACAGTGCACCAACACCAGCAGCTGACATGGCACCCCAGACCATCACTGACTGTGGGTACTTGACACTGGACTTCAGGCATTTTGGCATTTCCTTCTCCCCAGTCTTCCTCCAGACTCTGGCACCTTGATTTCCGAATGACATGCAAAACTGAGCAACAGTCCAGTGCTGCTTCTCTGTAGCCCAGGTCAGGCGCTTCTGCCACTGTTTCTGGTTCAAAAGTGGCTTGACCTGGGGAATGCGGCACCTGTAGCCCATTTCCTGCACACGCCTGTGCACGGTGGCTCTGGATGTTTCTACTCCAGACTCAGTCCACTGCTTCCGCAGGTCCCCCAAGGTCTGGAATCGGTCCTTCTCCACAGTCTTCCTCAGGGTCCGGTCACCTCTTCTCGTTGTGCAGCGTTTTTTGCCACACTTTTTCCTTCCCACAGACTTCCCACTGAGGTGCCTTGATACAGCACTCTGGGAACAGCCTATTTGTTCAGAAATTTCTTTCTGTCTTACCCTCTTGCTTGAGGGTGTCAATGATGGCCTTCTGGACAGCAGTCAGGTCGGCAGTCTTACCCATGATTGCGGTTTTGAGTAATGAAACAGGCTGGGAGTTTTTAAAAGCCTCAGGAATCTTTTGCAGGTGTTTAAAGTTAATTAGTTGATTTAGATTATTAGGTTAATAGCTCGTTTAGAGACCCTTTTCATGATATGCTAATTTTTTGAGACAGGAATTTTGGGTTTTCATGAGCTGTATGCCAAAATCATCAGTATTAAAACAATAAAAGACCTGAAATATTTCAGTTGGTGTGCAATGAATCTAAAATATATGAAAGTTTAATTTTTATCATTACATTATGGAAAATAATGAACTTTATCACAATATGCTAATTTTTTGAGAAGGACCTGTATACTACACGCCTATACTGTATGATATAATATACTATATGCTATTCTTCTATACTATACTATACTATACTATACTATACTATACTATACTATACTATACTATACTATACTATACTACACATTACTCCAGTCTTCAGAGTCACATGATCCTTTAGGAATCATTCTATGCTGATTTTCTACTCAAGAAACATTTAATGCCTATGTTTCTGTGGAAACCGAGATTTTTTTCAGGCTTACATGAGAACAAAGTTCAAAAGAACAGCATTTGAAATAGATTTTTTTGTGTGTGACTTTTGATCAATGTAATGCATCATTTCTGAATAAAAGTATGAATTTCTTTAAAAAAGTTAATTCTTTGCAGGATTTAATTGTCGTATTTATTTGCATGTTGCAGACGCTTGCATCTGAATCGACTTACAAAAGAGGATCAGGCAATTCATTAAAGAGCCAACAATATTTATTATATTGGCCTTAAAATCACCCAGTTCTGATACATTTCTAAAAGCTCGAATTGGATCAGGCCATGTCCAGATGTTCTCATCCTGCTTCTTATGGCTAAATCCATGATCCTGTAATGACCTCATACTCTCGGCTCTATTTTCCTTCCTTAAGAAGGAGCTGTTAAATTAGCTGTAATTAGCTGACATTAAGACCTCCTGCTAATGTGACATTTCATTAAAGGGTAATAGAGATTCTTATTTGATGCATTACCCCCACACACACATTAATCACAAAGTCCCGTCATCATGGTATAACGGCTTCATCTTTCTTTAGTTTGAAATTGATTAGCAATTAGCAAATAATCCCATGCTTACCAATTCTTCTCATTTTCCCGGTCTCAGTCTAAACAGTTGTCACGAGAAGCTAAAGTGGATGGGAAATGTGAAATGAGTACCTTATCTCGAATGGCCTGTCTGACTTTTTCTCTCTCTGCCTCCATACGAGCATGTTTGGCTTTCCGTTCATCCTCTTGTTGTCTCAGCGCCTCCTGCCTTTCTTCCTCCTTCTTCTGGGCATCAGGGTCCTTCTCCTCCTCTCCACCTAACATCTTCCCCATGTCTTTGGTGGCCCCTGTGCCAAAAAAAAAAAAAACGACAAAGAAATATTATTACTATTATAGAAGTCACCTATAAGTGGTTTTCAATGGCTGAAACTGATATATAGAGCCTTCCCAGAAGAGAGTAAGCTGTTATTTATTTACACTATTATTCAAAAGTTTGGGGTCAGTTAGATATTTAAAAAAGGAATGTTTTTTTATTTAGCAAGGATGCATTATATAAAAAAATGACACTAAGGACATTTACAATGTTACAAATGATTTCTATTTCAAGTAAATGCTGTTCTTTTGAACTTTCTATTCTTTAGAGAATCCTGAAAAACATGTATCATGGTTTCCACAAAAATATTAAGCAGCACAACTGTTTTCAACATTGATAATAATAGTAAATGTTTCTTGAGCAAATCAGCATATTAGAATGATTTGTGAAGGATCATATGACACTGAAGACAGGAGTATTGATGCTAATAATTCATCTTTGCCATCACAGGAATAAATAACATTTCAAATTCATCAAATAGAAAACAGTTTTACAAATATTTCACAATATTACTGTTTTTACTGTATTTTTGATCAGTTCAATGCAGCCTTGGAGAGCATAAGAGACTTCAAAAACACAAATTCCACAGCAAAAAATGATGAAGGCAAACAGAGACACCAGAATGATGCATCTGCAACTCCTCTCGCTGCCATCTGTTTAAATGGTGCGACTCTGCCTATCACGCGGTGTATTTGACATCATGTTTCGGTTTCAGCAAACAACAGCCACAGGTTATTATGGATAACGCAGGCATTACATGCTTTTAAGCAATGGCCATGTTTGCATTTACCTAGATGTCAACTTCAACTATATGTTGCACAGCTGTGTTTCAAAATTAGTGGTAAGATTTGGTTGCAAATACTGTACTATTGCTTTAAGTCATTAATCATTTGCATAATGGCTTTGCATAATGTGACTCTACAAGCAACTGTACACTCATTTATTATTAAAGGCTGTCATTTATTATGCATGAGTGTGCATTTGAAATCCAGCGTCAAGGTCTACGCATTACCTTCACATGTGTTTAATTGCTTCCGTATAACGCTCAGGACACTGAAAGGGAAGGGAGTGAGAGTGTACTCTTTAAGTGGCCTTTAACTGTCTGAGTGTGTATGTCTAGGACACCTTGAGCTGACATAACAGTCCTCGCATTGTGTCATGCTGCAGGTTTCCCATGGTCCACAAAGACCATATGAATCCACTCCCTTTCTTTACCCAACACTAATCCACCACCAACCCCAAACTTCCTGACCGATAAACCTTCCTGACCAATGAGGTTATTTCTTGTGTTACGCAGCACGTTTGAGCTTCCTCAAGAACCAATGAGGTTCATTCTCGTGTTGCGCAGCACGTTTGAGCTTCCTCAAGAACCAATGAGGTTTGTTCTTGTGTTACGCAGCACGTTTGAGCTTCCTCAAGAACCAATGAGGTTCATTCTCGTGTTACGCAGCACGTTTGAGTTTCCTCAAGAACCAATGAGGTTTGTTCTTGTGTTACGCAGCACGTTTGAGCTTCTTCAAGAACCAATGAGGTTCGTTCTTGTGTTACGCAGCACGTTTGAGTTTCCTCAAGAACCAATGAGGTTTGTTCTTGTGTTACGCAGCACGTTTGAGCTTCTTCAAGAACCAATGAGGTTCGTTCTTGTGTTACGCAGCACGTTTGAGCTTCCTCAAGAACCAATGAGGTTCGTTCTTGTGTTACGCAGCACGTTTGAGCTTCTTCAAGAACCAATGAGGTTCGTTCTTGTGTTACGCAGCACGTTTGAGCTTCAGCAAGAACCAATGAGGTTAATTCTCGTGTTACGCAGCACGTTTGAGCTTCTTCAAGAACCAATGAGGTTCGTTCTTGTGTTACGCAGCACGTTTGAGCTTCTTCAGGAACCAATGAGGTTCGTTCTTGTGTTACGCAGCACGTTTGAGCTTCCTCAAGAACCAATGAGGTTTGTTCTTGTGTTACGCAGCACGTTTGAGCTTCAGCAAGAACCAATGAGGTTTGTTCTCGTGTTACGCAGCACGTTTGAGCTTCCTCAAGAACCAATGAGGTTCGTTCTCGTGTTACGCAGCACGTTTGAGCTTCAGCAAGAACCAATGAGGTTTGTTCTCGTGTTACGCAGCACGTTTGAGCTTCCTCAAGAACCAATGAGGTTCATTCTCGTGTTGCGCAGCACGTTTGAGCTTCCTCAAGAACCAATGAGGTTTGTTCTTGTGTTACGCAGCACGTTTGAGCTTCCTCGAGAACCAATGAGGTTAATTCTCGTGTTACGCAGCACGTTTGAGCTTCCTCAAGAACCAATGAGGTTCATTCTTGTGTTACGCAGCACGTTTGAGCTTCTTCAAGAACCAATGAGGTTCGTTCTCATGTTATGCAGCACGTTTGAGCTTCTTCAAGAACCAATGAGGTTCGTTCTTGTGTTACACAGCACGTTTGAGCTTCAGCAAGAACCAATGAGGTTCGTTCTCGTGTTACGCAGCACGTTTGAGCTTCAGCAAGAACCAATGAGGTTCGTTCTCGTGTTACGCAGCACGTTTGAGCTTCAGCAAGAACCAATGAGGTTCGTTCTTGTGTTACGCAGCATGTTTGAGCTTCAGCAAGAACCAATGAGGTTTGTTCTTGTGTTACGCAGCACGTTTGAGCTTCCTCAAGAACCAATGAGGTTAATTCTCGTGTTACGCAGCACGTTTGAGCTTCCTCAAGAACCAATGAGTTTTGTTCTTGTGTTACGCAGCACGTTTGAGCTTCCTCAAGAACCAATGAGGTTCGTTCTCGTGTTACGCAGCACGTTTGAGCTTCCTCAAGAACCAATGAGGTTCGTTCTCGTGTTACGCAGCACGTTTGAGCTTCAGCAAGAACCAATGAGGTTCGTTCTTGTGTTACGCAGCATGTTTGAGCTTCAGCAAGAACCAATGAGGTTTGTTCTTGTGTTACGCAGCACGTTTGAGCTTCCTCAAGAACCAATGAGGTTCATTCTCGTGTTATGCAGCACGTTTGAGCTTCAGCAAGAACCAATGAGGTTAATTCTCGTGTTACGCAGCACGTTTGAGCTTCCTCAAGAACCAATGAGGTTCATTCTCGTGTTACGCAGCACGTTTGAGCTTCCTCAAGAACCAATGAGGTTAATTCTCGTGTTACGCAGCACGTTTGAGCTTCCTCAAGAACCAATGAGGTTCATTCTCGTGTTACGCAGCACGTTTGAGCTTCTTCAAGAACCAATGAGGTTTGTTCTTGTGTTACGCAGCACGTTTGAGCTTCTGCGAGAACCAATGAGGTTCATTCTCGTGTTACGCAGCACGTTTGAGCTCCTTCAAGAACCAATGAGGTTTGTTCTTGTGTTACACAGCACGTTTGAGCTTCTGCAAGAACAAATTACTTTTTTTTCTTGCGCATCAAGCAGGTTAGGTCGAGCTTCTCTTTATGTTCGCAGATTAATGTTTATATGTGAATAAAAGCCTAAATTAAATCTGTTTATCATATAAAGCGATCGAGTTTCTTCAGAAAATTTGTACTAAACCTCTCAATTCATATGGATTAGTTTTACGATCTCTTTATGAACTTTTTGAAGCATCCAAGTGCTAGTTGCATTGCTTTTTAGTCGAGTATAATCTGCGATCTCTGAGTTTGTTTGTTGGCTTTCATGGCTGCTGTGTTTACCGCCAAATGGCAACCCAGGGTTTTCGGAATACTATATAGATTATATACAGCACCTTTAACTTAGCGACACATTTTAAGAATGCAGTGTCACTCACGAGAGGCTGCACAACATGGGCAAACATGTCTGTCTAGTGCATGTTTACATGGAAAAATGCCTTCAGTGTGAATGGCCTCTTATGGTGTAATTTCTGTGCTACCAAACAAAATGTTCAAATTATGATTTTTTTTTAAACAAGGTTAATGAACACTCCTCCTTTCTGCCATTGGTCGATCAAACCAATAGCCCTGCCTTGAACTCACACAATTGGTTGAGCCAATGTTGCTGTTGTCGGGCTAGTCGGGATACTCAAACAAACAGAGTAATGTTTGGATAATGATAAATAGCCACAGTGCTACTCTTTATGGGGAAATAAATCCACAGATGTCTTAATTATAATTGTCTCTGCATATTAAACTGGGATATGACAAAGTATTTAAAAATGACATGCTACACAGCATTAAGATTGAAACATTCTTCAGATTTTCATGTCACAGGAATTGTTCTACAAACACAAAGCAATTGCCGCTCCTGAGAGCTTATAGCAAGATGTAGGCCACTGAATGTAGTTGTTGTCAAGTTTAAAGCCACACAGAGGGTGGTTAACATAACAAAAGAACTGCTTCCCTCTATCAGATTCTTCATGGCTTTACATCAAAGCGCTTGGCAGGAACAGCAGTGATGGTTATGGATGGAAGAGCAAATCTGGGCTCTGGATAACAATGGCGCAGCGGCCGGAACTGTATTCCAGTATCTCTGGAAAAAGGCTAATTCTTAATGATATGTGAATTATCGGAGCTTTGAAAATTAGCATATTAATTACGTTCTTTTATAACGGTAAAGTAGTAGTAGTAAAATTGGTCACTTGTATTTTAGAAGCACTGCTAGCCTTTAATAAATCCTCAAAAACAAATATCTTGCATAAAATATAAGGAGAGATATTCTGAGAATTGATTAATAAGAGGTTGGTGAGTCTATCTGGAGATATTTTGTGTGATTATTCCCTCTTATAATATCACATGAACACTACAGCCCTATATAAGCATAGCTGTCCTGAAGCACACTTTTATTACATTTTATGTCTTTTTCTGTTTTCCATCTTTCTTTAATAAAAGTCTTTCACACCAACAGACAACAAACATAAACAGTTTTTTTTTACAGTCTGCTGAACGCAGAGCGTGGGGTGACTTCTCTGTGGGATCTTGAAGAAATTCTATATGCTTCTGAATAATTTGCAAGGGTTGAGAAAAACTAGCTAGGGAAAGTCTGTTTAATAATGGATGATTTTCATGAGTAAATCATGCTTCATTACCTCAGAGCTATGGAGCAGAATTTAAACTATGTCGTTTTATAACGTCTATGCTGCTATCACAGTACAAATCACTACATTTGGTAAAGATTTTAGACTTCAGGATCAAATTCAGGGCACATTTACATATCAAAGCTTTCTTGATGTATTAAAAGTGCTACACGAAACATTTCTTTCATATTTCATTTTACATTTCACAATTCATAGTCACAATCTGACGTCTTGGCCTCATCCATGTGGAACACCAAAGGAACTGTGTAAAATATGACGTGCAGTGAAAAGACAATCTGTGTTTCTTAAAGACACCTCACGCAGAAGGTCATTGTGTGGTCACACAATCTGCCACATCTGGCCCACTCAAGGGAATTGAAAAGAGAGAAATACATTTCGTTTTATTGCCCATAGTCACTCAGCTGATAAAAACAAAATCATGAAATTGATTTAAGGTCTCTTTGACCTTTAGACAAAGTTATGTTCATGGTATGGTGTGAATCTATAACCTATACACACTACAAATAAATGTCAAATAAAATAAACTATAACCAGAGATCAATAAACAGTTTGTTTTGTTACTGTTAAAAATGTATGAATTACAAAAAAAGATATTGCTGACTTATTGTCTTGCATCCAATTACTAGCAACCACATTTAATTTTTTTAATTAATTTCTTCTAAATGAATCTATTATTTTAATAATAAATAATCGAATCTAATACTTATCAATACATATTGTTGGTTTTTATGGAATAAATCATTTTTAATTGCACATTAATACATTTGACAGTGAATACAAATGCATCTCTTAAAAACCATCATCAGTTCCTGGTTACATGCTAATATGCATGTACAATTTTTAAATATATAAATATTTAATAAAAATAATAATATATGTATATAAAATATAAATATAAAAACTGACCATATATAGTCATCAGAACCAAACATAGACCTAAATATTATGTATAATAACAGGCATATCCTGTGCTTACAGCAGGCGATTTGAAATGCAACAATTATGAAATGTATTTTTTTAATGTAGCAAATTAACTGGTATTGTTAATAAATACTTTTTAGTATTATTAATAAAAACTTTAAAAATGATTTTAATGTTTCATTTATTTAATCATCAATACATGTTGTTGTTGTTTATTTAATTGATTATTTTAATTTACGAAAAATGTCTAATCGTCATCAATTTCTGCCATGGGTCAAATGAAAGTTAAATAATGAAACAAAAAAATGCAACATATAGAAACAATATCTGATTCTTGGTCTTGACCTGGATCGAGACTAATATGCCAGTTTGATAACATGACACTTACCGCCCAATGCTTGCTTCATCACAAAATCCATGATGCACTCAGATATCTGGTCCTCTTATAGCTAAAGAAAATTTTGCATTTAGTCTTGATGTGATCCTGATTCTGCCGCTCCACCACAGTGTGTCAGTCTTCTGTGTCCTGATGAATCCTTCACACCTATTGGGAAAAAATGGGAAGAAAACCTGATCAGCATGCAACGTCAATCAGAAACACTCAGAGTACAGTATAATATTGATCACTATATTGTTAATACAACCTCCATAACATCTGTAAGTATTTGAGCTGAAATTTTTACAAAGCTACCATAAAAAGTCGTAATATCTGCAAATAAATGCACATTTATGTTACTCTGAGCTTCTAGACAAATCCCACACAGCATGCAGGCGCTCAAAATAAATTCACAGTCAGTTCTGAAAACTCACGAAAGTCAAAGTAATTATTGCTTACAGGAACACACTGAACATTTGCAGCCACACCGTGACATTAAGGCTATCAGAGTTATTGCAGATTTCATCTCAAGGAGTTGTCTGAAACTTTTTGGAAGGTTGCTTTTCTTCAGCAAATATGAGCTGCACTAAGCCTTTGAATACTAAAAATCATCTGAAAATGTTTTCAGCACAGGAACAACGAAAACAAACCCTATGATGGTAGCCAAACCACTCTAAAGAGACAAGACAAGATACTAAAGAACAGCAGTTATATAAAAATAAATAAAAATAAAAAACCTTGAACAAACTAGCATTATGTGTTTAACTGTTTGTAACCAGTTATGGTACAATCAGATATGTATTTGCATCTAAGGCCAGTTATGTATTTGCTTAAATGAATCTGCTTTCACTTACCAGTTTACTGACTTTTGCTATTTGATCTTCTTGAAGTATTCCTAACTGAACGATGAATAAAAAAAACCCCGACTTGCTCACTGGGTCCTGATACTCTCTCTGATACTCTCTCTCTCTCTCTCTCTCTCTCTCTCTCTCTCTCTCTCTCTGGCTGTCGCTCCAATAGCCTCATTCATACTCCCCCACACTCCGCCTCCTCATCTTTCCATCTCCCTTCAGTAAAAGGAAGTTCATTTTGTTAAATTTAAAGGACGGATTACCCCAATTACTGCATGTGTCTGTTTGCTTAATTTTTAAAAAACAATTCTTTACTTTTATAACATGTTTTTCCTGTATTATAGTAGAAATATTTTTTTTATATTCCTACACTTCTGTTTAAACAAACACAAAATTATTTAAAAGCAGTGGTTACATGGATACATAATATACATATAAAAAGGGGATGAATGTAGAGAGCAAAACAGCATGACATGCTAAATTCATCCCATCTAAAACATCCCCATGCAAAATATTTATTGTTATTGCTTTTTACAAAGCTAGACCCTTGAGATTAAAATCCCTTTTTTTCTTTAAGGCAAGAAGACAAAAACAACAACAACAAGTACTACATTTAAAGAAAAATTAGTGTCTATATAGACTATATACAAATAGCCCACCTTTTGGCAGAGGCTATTTACACTAACCCCGCCCACCAATTTCTGGTTGGACCAGACACAATTACAAAATAAATCTGTCTAATAACAGGAGCAGCGGTGTGGAGAGTAAAGCAATTTTGACCAAAGTTTTCTTAACTAATTTTTCTCCACATTACAGATCAGAAAGTGAAATAAAGTGGTATTTAATAGTAGGAAAAAAGTGTTTATAGGGTAGGGGGGTAGGTAGGGAAGGTTTTATTGTCCCAATATGGTGGCATCCATTTAATGAATTTAGCCATTTACACTCAATATGTTGTTATTATTGCACACTGTTTTACACTACATCTGTCACTATTTGCACAAAGTTTAAATAGCATCTACCCACTATTTACTTTTAGTACAAATAGCATCTATCTACTAAATTTTACACTTAGTGCAAAGAAAACACTGCTAATTTTAATTAGTGTAAATAGCCTCTGCCCAAGAAACATATTAAAGCTAAAAAAATTACACAAATTAGTAACCCTGGCCTATCCTTACATGCAATGGCTGATCTTCTATTCCAGAGTCAAAATGGGGCTGTGATAACACCCACCATGTCTGATTAGCATAACACATAGTGTCCTTGTGTGACCTTGAGGTCGGGTTTGTATGCTATTTATCACTTAATAAATGCTTCAATTGAACTGTCTTTAGAGTGTTTTCATATGTGTAATAAATTGAGAGACTGAGAAAAGATGTGTTGCAATAACCATTTGCATTGAATGATTTGCATTATCATACATTGCTTTGCATCTAATTATAAATCTTTTTCTGTCATCCCCTATAAAACCATATTCTATCCAGCTCAAGCATAAGTCCTGGTGAATGCAAATTATCTGACATCCGAATGTGAAGATTTGTAAGACAGCAAAAGTATATATGTCATCTGAAATCTCACAATGCACTAATGGTGGGAAGATGTCAAGGAGAAACGACATTCTGATTGATTCTGGTTGTGCATCTCATCCATCTTTGAGCTTCTAAAATGATAAAATGGGATTAGAACGAAAGCCTCAAGGTTACAGTTTGCTAACTGAAAGCATAAACTGAAACTCAAAAGTGTTTTTTATTATGAAACTCCTTTAGATCTTCTTAAGGCACACATGATTGCACAAGACAGCTGTATAGTGTAATACTAAAAATAATGAAGAAGAGGAGATCATATACTTTTTCTGAAGCTATTAGTGGATCCTTATGTAAGCTCTACTTCAGTGGCAAACTACGAGATCACCGCAGGGCGTTTGATTTCCTAAACAGAGACTCACTGATGTATGGCACAAAATAGCATTGCGATAATATGACAATTAATTTGAGATACTTATGTACTAAATGCTGTGGTGGATTTTTGAAATCAAAGGTCTCAGGAAAACAACATAGCTGCTTAAAGCATGGATGGAGCTGGCTAAGACTTTGCCCAATCAGGCATGAAATTATTACTTTTCCTATTAAAGACTTTACACAATTATGCAACACAATAATGCATGAATAGAAACATGGTCTTTGCACATGTACAGGAAACCTCTCTGAGGAAGTCATGGTTTCAGCTTTGGTAAGAATAATAGATGCTTTTTATGGGTTTTGGGGCCTATTACATTTCTTTGCCACAAAAACCAGCAATAATATGAAGCAATTATAAGAGACTCTCACATGCCTGGTTGAGAAAACACTTCAGCCAGATCACAGCAGATCTGTACGTGAGAGATTTTCCCCCATATTTTTTGCATGAACACACATTCACAAATCAATTGATTTGCTTGGGCAAATGAACAACTTGTTAAATAAAGTAAATAACTGTGAATGTATCTGGTACATTGTAACTGGTAGATTTCCCACAACAAGTCACTTTCTCTGTGGCAGTGGAATAATGATGACTTCAGTGAAGATTAGTTCACCATGATTCTATCCGCATCCTCTCTTAATTTCTTACAGATCCTTTCAAGGACAGGCATTTAGGAGTGATACACATGGTCCCTGATTGCATCCATTAAGCCTATTGGAAGCTACCTTCAGCCACAGCTTAATGACTCAGGTAAAAGACGCCTTGGGGCAGTTCAAATCAATAGATATGGACAAGGAAAGATTCCTGACTTTCCCGACAACCCTAGAGCTTTCAGCTTGAAGGGAGGACTGAGTGCAGATACACAGCTTTAAAACATATTAAAACTCTAAAACCTTTCTGACAGAGAGTTTCTTATTCACAAAGATGCCTTGAAAGCAAAAGGGAGAGACAATAGCATCAAAACCTTGAGGAAATATCAGCATGCTCATCATCTTTTCTTGTTTCTTGATGAACTCTGCCATATGAATACACCACACAGATTTGTATCACTGCTTTTTTGTGTTTGTTCATTCCAGACAGACTGTCAGTCTGTGCATTAAAGTCCCTATGAAATGGAAGTTGCGATAGTCTTTTCTTCCATATGACGTATATCTGAGTGAAACGCTTCTTAAACAATAAAAAAAATGTTGGGCAGGACTTGATTTTGTCTATCAGGAATTGATTGGATGGTTGTTGACTCTATTGCTCTCATGTGATTGACGGGTTGTCCCGCCCTGACGCCTGTAAATATATCATCAGAGAAGAGATGTCCCTGCAAGAGGGAGGGGAAGTTATTTTGATTAAAGATTGTGAGGGCACATTATTTAAAAACAAAAATATGTGCAGGGATAAATCATAGTCTGCATAATTTTTTCATCTCTTCTAATGTCTGTGCACAGTCCGTGAAACACGGACTTGAACACGGACAATATAAAAGAAAGGTCCACTTAGGAAAGGTCCGTATAGTGCACACTTTAGAGCTCACAGCCTTTGAAACGCGTGCATACTCAACTATGCGTGACAGAGCAGAACGCTGGGAAATGAAGTAATCAATTTGGCTGTAAAAGCAGACTTTAACAATGAGACACTAAATTCTCTTTATTTGAATAAGGTGAATTATTATAGCTCCCTGGAACTTCCAAATAAGTCTGCTGGCCTTGCCCAGCTCAAAGACTGCTATGCCGTTGATAATCCACCCACCCTGCCTCCCTCTCCCGCCTCCTCTGCCCAGGCCAGTCGTTCCCTCAGCCCCGTCTTTTCTGGCACCCTTCAGTCCCTCGGCTCCTCTACTGGCTATAACCTGCTCTGATCTGCCGGGGACTTCTAGTTTGCCAGCTCAAGCCAAGATGTGTCGATTTACTTTGTTCCACCTCAGACCTCCAGGCCCGTAGCTCCAACTTGGCCCATCGAGCAGTCAAGTCTGCCTTGGCTCCACCCTCCCTCGGCTCTACCAGGGACCGTTGTCTCCTTGGCTCCACCATGCTTCCTCGTCCCACCGGCTCCACCTTGGTCAGATATCGCCCTGCCTGCACCACAGACTTTCAAGCTTTCTTCTGCGCTTCGGCTCCACTTTCCAGACCGCTCGGTTACACCGTTGGTCGTTGGACCGCTAACTCTGCCTTGGCTCCTCCCACCATCGATTCCGCCATGGGCCTTTGTACCACCTGTGCTCTGGGCGTCGACCTTTTCCACCCTGCAATCACCTCCTCCCTGGTTCCTTCCACTGTCAGATACTCCATTGCTGTGTTCACCATCAGCTCCTCTAGGAGTACTTCGGATATCCCTCGGATGAAATCTAGAATCGTCATCACCTTTCGC